AACTGCTCGACTAATAATATGCAGTACAGTAAGAATATAATGACACTAATACTATAACAATGTGTTTCAGGTCAGAATACTTAAACTTATGAACATGAGAGAAGATAACTGTAAGAGCAGAACCCCATATTCACAACACTGGACATGAGCACTCCAAACATCTTTGTTGCAAGTACCACTTGTCTGATGCATGTCTGATTGAATGCTGATTAGCTGTTGCTTGAGAATTTTCTTTGGAAACACAGGATATTTTTTGACAAAGCCCACTGCCTTCACTTAAAATTGCGGAGAGCAACAAAACAGTGAAAAGCTAGTGCTATAGAATAGGGATTTAGGAGACAGGACTCTGGGCCAAAGCTGTGTGGAGCTTTAAAGGTGAGGAAAAAGTGCACTTGCATTGATCTTGCAAATGAACTGGCAGTGAATAACTCATCGTAAGTAAGATATTGTCTAACCACCCAGAACCTGTTAACAGACTAGGTTCAGGAGTCTGAAATGATCAGAAATTATATGAGCCATTAAGCAAATATATCAAAATAATGAAGTGGAATAATGAGACAGAACAGAGGGAAATATCTGGCTTAATAAACTAATGGGAGTTAGCTGCATGCTTGGGAATGGGAACAGACAGGAAGGGGTAACTTTACATGAATCATGTTCATACCTGGATTTTGGTAAAAAAAAATGGAACAGGTGAAGAATAGTATATAATGATTTCAACAGATGGTTGAACTGATAGAGAAGAAAATGGCAGAGTTTGTGTCTGGGTCTCAAGCTATGCAAGGTTTTAAAGGTAAGGAAGAGTGCAATTTGAATTCATTTTGGTAATGAAGCAGCCAGCAGTGAATAACAATTTCAACATAAAATGAGATATGATCTAATCACCCAGCCTGTATTAGCAACTTGGTAGCTTCATCACCATGTAATTTCCATTGTACAGGTGTGAGTGTGGCTGTTCATATAACCAAAATGATGATAATCACACTCAGGTTGGAGATGTTAGCAGGCTTTGTGGTACCAAATTTTCTTAAGAATGATGTCCTAAAATGGGAACTCTCCCCATAACAACATGAGGACTGTGAGTACTCAGTAGCCATTGAATGTTAAATGCTGGGATGGAGGGAAAATAAAATAAAATGGAAAGAAACTGAATAGAGTGGAGGAAGAAATGACTGAGTGCCTGGAACAGTGAATTGCAATATTTGGCTATGGACTACACCTGTATGAATTAACAATAAGCATGCTGTAGCTGTTTCTTCTTATATATAGCCAAAACAATACCATGCATGCCATAAATATATCAGGAAGCTTGAGGCTACAAAAAAAGTTGGGGAAACTATGAGGAGAGGTCACAAAAGCCACTGTTAAACATGTTCTGTGGATACATACCATAATATGACTGCCATTTCCATAGATTTGCTATCTGTGGTTTCACTCATCCACGTTTGAAAAAATATGTTCTCTCTAGGCCTTCCAGGTAGTTCTATGGTATTCTAACAGGTATGGTGGCCTGTTTTATTGAAAATAATAGATTTCCCTACTATTTCAGGTCTCCACAGGGGTGGGGTGGAGGTGTCTTGGAACATAACTTGGAATACCTCCCGGGTGAAAAAGATTATATCACTCGCGGCATAGACTTGCATTGTAAATTTATTATTGTTTTAATTATTGTTGTTATTTTATTGTTTTTACTGTTGGGTTTATTGTTTATTATTGTTCCTTTTATTATTGTTGTGGTTTTATTGTTATGTTTTTGTTGTTGTTTTTTAATTGATTGTACTACTGTACATTTTGTACATTTTATCTTTGTACTCCTGCCTCGATCCGTAGGGAGAGGCAGGAAATATAAATAAATTATATTATTATTATTATTATTATTATTATTATTATTATTATTATTATTATTATAACCTCTGCAGATACAGGGGTTGTACTGTACTAACTGGTTGGTGCTGGGGGAGGAAGAAAATTGGGATGAGGGAGAATGGCATAGCCTGGAAAAAAGGGATAGCTGGAACTCTGAAGAGAATCACTCTAAACTGCAAAATTTTGTTGCAGGTTTCATTTATTCGGAACAAAATCCAAATTCCCTCTCTCCAGGAGGGGTTGCAGTAGGTTTATCAGTTTCAGCTGACACTAGAAACTAATAAAGATGGATCTGTAAGCAGAATGTGCACTTTTAGAAAGAGTGCAAACCAGGATGGTTTATGCTATGCCCTTGAAAAGATGAATCACTCACTCACCTATGGGACCTACAAATTAGTCTTGCTTCTGCCTAGATTAATCTGCAGCCTAAAGAGAAAATAGAAGAAAGTCAGGAAGCTGACTAGTTTTGTTAAACAATTTAACTACACATTATACCAAGCTGAAACTGCATCTGTTTTGTAATGTATTAAATATATTCTTCTCTTTTTAAATAAGTGTGTTTTTAAGATAGCAGTATCATAGATAAGAGAGATTCACCCCACAAAGGGCAACTTAGCACATCTTTTTGTTCTTTTATAGCAGCAGTTCTCAAATGTTTTGAAGCTTTACCCAACTTTCAATGTATGCAGCCTTTTGGGACCAACCAAACCAAGCCCACCTTTTGAGCTCCGCATTCCCCCCAACAATTCTTGCCCATGCTTGGCTGGACATTGGGCAAAGTGTCCTCCAGCCTCCCTCATTCTTCCCTGATGTTCTCCATTTCTGCTTCCTAGGTGATGCATGGGAATAGGCATCACTGCTGAAAACAGTGTGGCTTCAGCCATTAGTCCTTCTTCAGCCCAAATCTGTATGGAGAAGCAATCAATGAGGCAGCTCAAGCTGCTGCTCCTTAACCCCAGTGTCTTTAGGCCACATGCTTGTGTGTACTTCCTCTAAAGTCCTGGGTGGTCATTTAAGAAAAAATTAAAAAGGCGGGTAGTGGATCCCCTGGCATTTGACCCATTATACTGTGTGCCGACTCCAGACCTGCTCTTCTCTAGCAGAAACAAATGCCATAAGACTATCACACCAGTCACAACCACTAAATATGCTTACTTCATATTTTACATTTTTAGTGTTAATTTAGGTGTAAGAAAGTACTGAATACCATTTAAGCACACAAAAGACTCTGGAGGAATGAACTATTTTACCAAGGAGCAACACAACATTCCAGTTGCACTGTGAGCACTGTGGAAGAAGAACAGCCCTCACTATGACCCACCATTTAAAGATATAGCCATGTTAATCTGTATCATTAATATATATAGAGAGATTTTTTTTAGCATCTTTGAGACAAACTGAGAAAAAAAGTTTGTAGCATTAGCTTTCGTAGACTTTAGTTTACTTCTTCAGATGCTTATGAATTCTTACTGAAAAGGAATGTTGGCTACTGCAGAACCAGTCAGTATGAGTTGATTGTTGAAAAAAAAGATAAAAGAACAAGTGCAAGCAATGGGATGTCATTCCTGGGAACCTATGTGTGGGGAGCCCTTTGCAAAACTACATATCATGTAGAGCTCATGGGTTCTACTCATGCTGTTTTTTTTTGTTTGTTTGTTTTCTTCAGTTAAATTCCTGCATTCCTGTCTGTCCCTGGCTTCCACTCCACCATAAGCATCTGAAGAAGTAGACTAAAGTCTAAGAAAGCTAATGCTACAAACCTTTTTCCCAGTTCAGTCTCAAAGGAGCTACAAAATCTCTCTCTATATTAATTCTACAGAAAAAAACAGCTCTATCTTTACATTCTACCACTATAGAAAGCACCAAGTTTAGCTGAATGAAGTGCAAAACCCACCAGCCTCTTCAAGAAACTTGCCCAGACAGATATCTTATTTTTCAACAAGTGCAAGCAATGGGTTGTCGTTCCTGGGGACCTACCTACATGTGGGGAGCCCTTTGCAAAACTATATATCATGTAAAGCTCATGGGTACTACTCATGCTGACTGGTTTTTCAGTTTTCTTCAGTTAAACTGTTGCACTCCTGTTGGTCTCTGGCTTTCACTCCACAAAAAGCATCTGAAGTAGACTGGTCTACGAAAGCTAATGCTACTTCTTTCCAGTCAGTCTCAAAGGTACTTCAAAATCTATATATGACTATGTGTGAACTTCTCGAAAGCACTCCTTTGTAACCATTTGTGGATCCTCAACCTATAATGTGAGGAACAATATATTCTGGTAATGGGTTGGACACTTGGTTTACAATTCTATTACAATTTTTGTTTTGTCTGGCAGGGTTCTTTGGCCAACAAAGAGTGGCATGACAGGCGTGTTTCCCTGGCATGGAAGATAAGCAATGAAGAAAGCCACATTTGGATGCCTGCCTACCACTGTTAAAGAAAGAAAAACCCTGCGGAGGTGGCCACCTGGGATTCAAGGTGGCAAATCTATCCAAGATTGTAGTGGCTAAGAAAATTAGTAGATCTTTGAGTTAGGATTTGGAGGATACAGTTGTCTCTGTAGGTGTGAGGCTAATGTGTAAATTATGGGTTTTTTTTAAGTCTTGAAGCATAAATCACATACAATGTATTGGTAGCAAAGTAGCCTTGTAAGTGACCACAAGATTTTCATGCACATTTGCTGCCAGACTAACAGGGAGTTTGTCAACCAGAACTTATAAAACTAGACATAAAAGATCCTGGAGACATTTTTGGAGAACATAATAAGAGACAGGAATAAGGATCAGGGATGCCGAGTTATGCAAGCTGGACTATTCTGCGTGGTGAACAGTCCGAGTGAGTGGAAATTTTTAGTAATGTAAGCTGCCAAGACCTTAGAATAAGGATGACATAGGTGTCAATTTAATGGTTAAATACACCTAACCCAAGTTGGTGTAAGCTTGCAGGAACTGCTTAAAAAAAACCCCAACAACTAGAATTCCAAGTCTGTCATCCCCCAATAAACACACACACACAAGTAGACTTAAAAAGAATTTTACTCCAAGAATTTGCTTTGAATACTAGAGTGCCAGCATACTGTAGTGATCTTAGTGTTCAACTATTGCTCAAACCATTACACAGTACATACTTGGAAATAAGCCAAGGGTAGTGTAGTGGTTTTAATGTTGGACTAGGACTCTGGAGGTCAGGGTTCAAATCCCTACTCAGCCATGGAAACCCAGTACATGATTTTGGGTAAGTCACACTCTCTCAGCCTCAGGGAAGGGAAACACAAAGACTCCTCTGAACAAATCTTGCCAAGAAAACTGTTGTAGGTTTGTCTTAGGATTGCCATAAATCAGAAACAACTTGAAGGAACACAACAATAAACAACAAACAATTAATGTCCTTTAAACATAATCTGCAAATGAAAAAAGATTATACTTTTTTGTTTGTAGTATATTAGCATTTTTGGTCCTGTAGTAAACAACTAAAACTGTATTGCATCAGGACAAGAGATCATATTTATCTCTGTAAAAACTCACTCCAGATTACCCGAAGCCCTCTTCAATCATATAATGCATTTGGTAGGGTCATCTTGTTGTTGCTCTTGACAGATATCACAAATCTTTATTTTCTTACTCCATCTCTACTTTCTTACTCCAGTTCATACACCACCTCAGAATGCATTATTGGGGGGAAAGCAGGACATAAATAAGTAATAAAAACTATACTATGGCAGGACACCAGTACATCGGGATCTACCTTTTTGTCTACCATGTCCTGCTACACCCTGGAGCCCAAAAAGCCTGAAGGAAATGAGAAGATTCAATAGCAAAGGTGGTCTCATATTCTGGACAGGATTTGTTCAGTGATGGATGCATCTAGAGGGGAGAATTAATGCAGCTTGACCCCATTTGAACAGTCATGGCTCAATGCTGTGGAATTCTGAGGTTTGTAGTTTGGGATCTATTTATCCTAATTTATTTAGTGTATTTACATCCAACACTTCAACCACAAAGGCTCTCAGAGCAGTTTGTTGTTGTTAGCTGTTCATGAGCTGATCCCAACCCAGGGCAACCCTGTGGATGAGACATCTCCAAGACTCATTATCTTCCACTGCTCTGCTCAAGCCCTACAAGCCCATGCCCATAACACCTGATTGAATCTATCCATCTGGCATGTAGTCTTCCCTTCCTTCTTCTACATGCTACCTTTCCTAACATTACTGCCCTTTCATTATGTGACCAAAGAACAGCTTCAACTTGATCATCTTGGTTTCTGGCTTGATCTGATAAAGGACCCATTTGTGTGTCTTTTTAGCTGTCCACAGGATTCTCAGTGCCTTGCTTGTAGCACCTTTGAGACTAACGGAAAGAAAGAAATTGGCAGCATGAGCTTTCGTAGATTTCAGTCTACTTCCTCAGATGCATTTGGTGGAGCGGAGGCCAGGCACAGAGATATATCTGTGAGGGTGTCAATTCAAATTACAAATCCTTTGTGTATGGAAATGAAGTGAAAAAGGAACTCCCCGGCCATGGCTGCCACTTCATTTCCATACACAAAGGATTTGTAATTCGAATTGACAT